ATAGTCCACGTTAGCTGCACCAAGTGTGCTGCTGTGTCACCAATAGAAACGCCCCACGTCAGCTCAATACGTGAAGGGAGAGGGAGAAGTGTACGAGCTCACTTTTGAGTTGTGAAGTAAAGAAGCTACATCGTTAACAGCCAACTATGTTCTAATTTCTTTTTTCTTTTTGTGATAATCTCATCTTAATCCTTTGTTCAGTGATCTCCATAGGAAAATTGGGTTTTAATTTGATAGTCAGTGTTGATTAATCAAAGCTTCAATCTTCATGAAATTGGAAGGGTGTATATATGTCAGTCATAAAATACATTGTCTCACTTAGCATTTACTGGAGTAGAGTGTTAACATTTGTGTGTGTGTGTGTTTTCAAAGTCATTGCCTAGAACTGATCACATGCTTAAAACTTATATTTTATTGTGATCAAAGATGTTTTGGAGCTTCTCAAAAATTTATCAGCCTCTTTCAAAGTCATTATTATTTTATTAGGGTCTTATTTGGTTTGTAGTTGGAATCAAAATCGCAGAATTGGAATTGTCTAGTCCTCTTATCTGTTTGATTCAGACTGAAATTAAAATTGAATTTCATGCACGACTTACAAACAGGGTTGGTGTCAAGTAAACAGGAATAGGGGTTGGGGGTTTAAGACTTGTTTACGACTTTATGCACTTGTCATATGCATGAGCAAAAGGAATCAGATGCCCATCACCTTCCTCATTTCACCCAACCAAACTGTTGGAATCAGAATGTATCATTCCGATTCTGATTCCAAACCCCTATTCCCACAAACCAAATCGATCCTTCTTTAATTTTGATATCATGTATTGACTCAAACGATTAAACCACTGGCCCATTATCTAAATGGAAAAATAGTTTTATTTTTACATTAATTTAAAAAAAAAAATAAAAAGTATCGATCATCAAATCTCTCATTTAAATCAGCATCTAAGCCTTATCCTAACTATATGGGATTATGGGATTGATGCACAAATCTCTATCACGTAAATGATGTCTGTAACTTTTCTCCTAAGAAAACGGCAGACATGTATTATCCTCAGCTGTTACAATTCATAACAGCAATATATGTTTGGAGTCATCCAATAGGTATCCATGGTCCATCCTAACCCATCCACCAAACCGCTTTGCTCCGGTATCATCTCTTTAAATAGCATAGGTTTTTCCTTTTTTTTTTTCAAATCTTTTGTTTTCTCCTCTAATTAGTGTTGATTCATTTCGGCCCAACCCAGCTTAGAAATTTGCAGGCCAGGACCAGACCAGAAATTGTAAATGTATATGCATTAATTGTATATAACTATATAAATATTTCTGTACATATATAAATACCGTATACACATTTATATGTATATACCTATATAAATATAAGATTTTATTTTTTAATAAAACATGATTTTATTAATTTGTATTGGTAAGCCTGGCCCAATTTGGCCCAGTATCGAGTTGAGTTCAGGCTATGCTTTGGCTGTTCAGCGGACTGTGGAATCAATGATGAGGTTCTACACCAGTATTAAATTCATGGGCCCTACTGTAAAAGATGTGGGCCTCATGTATTTAATACTGACATGAAATCTTATCATTGGTCCCACAGCCCGCTGAACAGCTAAAATATTCGGCTAAGCCTCACTCAGCCTAGACAGCCCTAAAGATTATTATTATGCTATAAAAACCCAATCTGGGCCCAGCCCATTCTATGATCCTCCCTACTCTTTTAATGTTTGTGTTTCAGTCTGCTGATAAATAAAGATAGGCAAAAATTGTCAAGAAGTAAAAACAACGAGTCTTCTTGGCCTCCAGCAAGAGAAACAGTGGGAAGGAGAAGAAAAAGGGGGTGTCCTTTCCTTCTTTTAACATCTTTGAAGAATTAGGACAAACACATAAGCAACAATTGACATGAATCCACCAGAAACTAGTGCTTTTTAGCATTCCCCATGCCACCAAAGACTATTCTTCCCACTGCACTACTTCATAAAAGACAATTGAACCGCAAATGAGTTTCTCCTTTTAGAAGAGGTTGGTCATCAAAGCTTGACTCACTGAGTCACTGGAATGAAAGAATTTACTTGATCAATGTTTTCAACCTGCCGTTGTCTCAGATGGTCCAATCATTTGAACCACCGCTTGGCCTTATTTTCAATTTCAATTTTCCTAAAACCCATACCACCAAAAACCGTTGGCTTGGTTAGAGGAGTCCGAATCTCCTGTCTATGAGAACTCTGCCCATGTTTATCGCAGCCATATATGGAGAACATCTCATCCTCTGCATAGAATTATGCAGGGGGAGATGCTCCCAATTCACATGGGGTAGTGTATTGTGGGTAGGCATGAGCAAAGTTGTTGTGGGTAGGAGATCAGGAGTCTGGTTAGAGACCCATTGACCAGGGTAGTTGAACATATAGGTACCCTATACTTAGAAATAAAAATATATTAATTACAGATAGGTACCTTAAATTTTGGGGTTAATGACACTTAAAGGACCTAAACTTTCAAATGTGACATTTTAATACCATCAAAGTTCTCATGGGCATAGTTCTCATGGGCAGAGTTCTCATGTGCAGGAGATCCGGACTCCTCTAACCAAGCCAATGGTTTTTGATGGTATGAGTTTTAGGAAAATTGAAATTGAAAATATAAGGCCAAGTGGTGGTTCAAATGATTGGACCATCTGAGACAACGGCAGGTTGAAAACATGGATCAAGTAAATTCTTTCATTCCAGTGACTCAGTGAGTCAAGCTTTGATGACCAACCTCTTCTAAAAGGAGAAACTCATTTGCGGTTCAATTGTCTAAGTAGTGCAGTGGGAAGAATAGTCTTTAGTGGCATGGGGAATGCTAAAAAGCACTAGTTTCTGGTGGATTCATGTCAATTGTTGCTTATGTGTTTGTCCTAATTCTTCAAAGATGTTAAAAGAAGGAAAAGACACCCCCTTTTTCTTCTCCTTTTCCACTGTTTCTCTTGCTGGAGGCCAAGAAGACTCTTTGTTTTTACTTCTTGACAATTTTTGCCTATCTTTATTTATCAGCAGACTGTGAATCACAAACATTGAAAGAGTAGGGAGGATCATAGAATGGGCCGGGCCCAGATTGGGTTTTTATAGCATAATAATAATCTTTAGGGCTGTCTAGGCTGAGTGAGGTTTAGCCAAATATTTTAGTTGTTTAGCGGGCTGTAGAACCAATGATAAAATTTTATGTCAGTATTAAATACATAGGGCCCACATCTTTTACAGTAGGGCCCATGAATTTAATACTGGTGTAGAACCTCATCATTGATTCCAGAGCCCGCTGAACAGCCAAAGCATTCAGTTAATCCAAATTCGTCTAGGCATAACCTGATCTCATTCGATACTGGGCCAAATTGGGCCAGGCTTACCAATACAAATTAATAAAATCATGTTTTATTAAAAAATAAAATATTATATTTATATAGGTATATACATATAAATGTGTGTATGGTATTTATACATGTACAGAAATATTTATATAATTATATACAATTAATATATATACATTTAAAATTTCTGATTTGGTCCTGGCCTGCAAATTTCTAAGCTGGGTTGGGCCGAAATGAATCAACACTAATTAGAGGAGAAAACAAAAGATTTGAAAAAAAAAAAGGAAAAACCTATGCTATGTAAAGAGATGATACCGGAGCAAAGCCCTTTGGTGGATGGGTTAGGATGGACCATGGATACCTATTGGATGACTCCAAATATATATTGCAGTTATGAATTGTAACAGCTGAGGATAATACATATCTGCCGTTTTCTTAGGAGAAAAGTTATAGACATCATTTACGTGATAGAGATTTGTGTATCAATCCCATAATCCCATATAGTTAGGATAAGGCTTAGATGCTGATAATGATGATGATTTAAATGAAAGAGATTTGATGATCAATATTTTTTATTTTCATTTTTTTTTTAAATTGATGCAAAAATGAAACTATTTTTCCATTTAGGTAACGGGCCAGTGGTTTAACCGTTTGAGTCAATACATCATATCAAAATTAAAGAAAGATCGATTTGGTTTGTGGGAATAGGAGTTTGGAATCAGAACCGGAATGATACATTCTGATTCGAACAGTTTGGTTGGGTGGAATGAGAAAGGTGATAGGCATCTGATTCCTTTTGCTCATGCATATGACAAGTGCATAAAGTCGTAAACAAGTCTTAAACCCCCAACCCCTATTCCTGTTTACTTGACACCAACCCTCTTTGTAAGTCGTGCATATCTTATGAAATTCAATTTTATGTCCAGCCTGAACCAAACAGATAAGAGGATAAGGGCAATAGACAATTCCAATTCTGCAATTTTGATTCTAACTACAAACCAAATAAGACCCTAATAAAATAATAATGAGTTTGAAAGAGGCAGATAAATTTATGAGAAGCTCCAAAACATCTTTGATCACAATAAAATATAAGTTTTAAGCATGTGATCAGTTCCAGGCAATAACTTTGAAAACACACACACATACAAATGTTAACACTCTACTCCAGTAAATGCTAAGTGAGACAATGTATTTTATGACTGACATATATACACCCTTCCAATTTCATGAAGATTGATGCTTTGATTAATCAACACTGACTATCAAATTAAAAGCAATTATGCTTCTTTTTAAATTTCATATATATTTAATATCTTTTTAACTTTTCGGATCTGAATTTTCAGATTTATTAAACGTATTGAATTCCACTATTTTGAAAATTTGAAAATTTAGCAAGGGTAAAAGTGATTTTTGATGATTTAATCCAATTTTGAAAACAGAGGGGAGAATTCAGTGTTTACAAAAATACTAGGTTTAAGTCTTTTACCCTATAAATTATTTATTCTATATACATCAGCGTTCGACCGAACGGTTGAACCGCTGATCCGATATAAAACCAACAATATCGAATTCAGACGGTTCGGCCTCTGGATCGGTTTTTGAAACATGGTAGCCGATACAATCGCCCGAATATAAAATCCAACAATATGGAATTCAGACGCCACCTTCCCAGCCTGAGAGAGTTTTCCCGTGTAGCTTCGACTCTTCCGGAGAGAGGATTTCTCCTCTCTTCCGACCAATCCATATCGTCCATCACCACAGATTGTTTCAGAAGATCACCTTAAAGGAAGGAAGAGGAAAGATAAAAATGGAGCAAACGAAGAAGAGAATCGAAATCAGTCTGGTTCTGTAGCACCGAGATCCTAAATCGGTAATTGCAACTCTCGATTACTCGTCGCGATAAAGTATCAATCCATTCCGCCTTTTATATTCCTTTATCCCATCTTTATGTAGTATCCACTCGTCGGTTAGGGGCTGAGAATCGACAGCTCTCAAGTCGGTAAATCGCTCTGGTGAATTCGAATTGAATCATGGGGTTCGAAGCTGAATTTTCTGGGGATTTTTTATCATGATTCATGGCAAGTGATTATACAGTGAAGATTGGTGGTAATTGTGATTGGAAAATTTGAGACCTTTTTTTTTGTTTCTGTATTGATTAGGGTTTTGGAGTTTGAAGGGCTACCTGTTCGTAATGTTTATAGATAGATGAATTGATTGGGGGTTTTGATTCGTAGCTTCGAATTCGAAGTTGTTGGTTTTTTTGTTGCTAGAGACGAGGTCAAAGCTTTTAAACTTGTCAGTTGGTTCGGTTTGCTAGGGTTTCATTTATCGATATGGAGCAAGAGGGGCAGAAGAGGGAAGTTAGTGAAAGTGGATGCCAATCCCCAAATGCTCCGATACTCTGCTCGAATAACTGCGGGTTCTTTGGAACTCCCGCCACCAATAATCTGTGCTCGAAATGCTACAGGGATTTCTTTCTGAAGCAATCCAAGGTTGCTGCTGCCTCTGTAGTTGCAGAGAGGAAGGTTGAAGAACCTATTGTGGAAAAGGCAGGCCAGGTTGGAGTTGGTCAAGAAGCTAAGGCTACCCTGAGTGAGGAAGGAACCACTTCTGGGGATCCAGGGAAGTTACCTGCCAATCGTTGCAGCTTCTGTAGGAAGCGTGTGGGACTGACGGGTTTCAAGTGCCGCTGTGGGCAGACATTTTGCTCTCTCCATCGCTACACCGACAAGCACAACTGCCTCTTTGATTACAAAACTGCAGGGCAGGATGCGATTGCAAAAGCAAATCCTGTTGTGAAGGCCGACAAGATTGAGAAGATATGATGCTGATGGCGGCTTGGAGATCTCTTGTGGGAAGGATCATGGTTTGTTCGTGGAATGTGATGAAAGGGTCTTCTGCTACATGAAGGATGGTATCAATTGGTCTGATGCTTCTAGAAATAAATAGCTGTCTTTCTGATTATTTGTCTCATTTGTACAGTTTGGTTATATCTATTATGGCTGTGTTACTGAAAGTAAAGAAATATGGGTGACACCTTATTCTGTGCTTCCTCTTGCAAAGTCCTGGGTTTTAATATTTTGTATATCCCTGCCATGAATTTGCAATTTATAGCTCAAGGTATTAGTTCAGTGCCCTTGTTTTCCATGGGTTGTTTGTGTTTTACAGTATTATTTCAGTTTTCCCTTTTTACTGCATGTATTCGGTAGCTTCTCATGTCAGTGGCACAGCATTTATTCTGATGTAGTAACCTATCTTTCTTGCAAGACGCAGTACAAGAAACTTACTGAATTGCAGAAGGGGATAGGAATATCATTTTTTAAGGTAAGGTATTGTGTTGTTGTCGAAAGGGATTACAAAGTCATAACCATGTATATTAAAGCCCTCTACATAGGCTATGCACAGTATAACCAACAAGCACATATTAACATATAATATAAAAAATCTTTTTCAAAACATCTATAAGAGAGTCCCTTGAAATCTCTGTAGGTAATGCACCAAGAGCACAGCATGCCTTTAAGTTTTCTTACAACTTCTTTCCATGAGCAAGAGGTATCATTAATATTTGGGCATTCCTTTCAGATTACTCACACCAGAATAGTGCCAGGAAAAAAGAAGACCCCAAACTGTTTGCCCTTTCTTGGTGACTTCAATCTGTCAACTTGATAGAAAGAGAGACAGATTCAGGGAAACAGCCCTTTCATCCAAATGTCTCTAGAATAACAATCAGTGTTAACAATTTAAAATCCTTTTCCTTGTTGATTGTATCTTTTCAACTATATATTTTTCATCTTTATTTTTTCTCATTGTGATCATATGGCCAGCATATTTTTCTGTTTATCCTCACCCCCATCATTCAAAGTGGGAGCTGTTTTCACTTTCTTACCTGTTAATGCCATTAATTGTTTTTGGTCGGTAGCCATTAATAAAATCTTTTATCATTATTGTTGATGAAAAAAGAAACAATAAAGCAGTGCCAAATGTTAGTTGTTTGTTAATGTCTTCAATGTATTGAGCCACCTTTCTTTGTAGCCATCTAATCACATCAAGAGGCTCCTTAGACTACTTTCAGAACTGACACAGATTTGATAGTGATCCTAATTTCTTGAAATGAAGTTTCATCTCTGGCTTAGTTTGAGTTAAGATTGATTGAATCAAAGGAAAATATGGAAGAAATTCATCAATTTCATTCTTCCCATCCTGTATAGTGTCACCAGGGTATTGATGTCCTTCTATTGGAAGAGGAAACCATTGAGTTTGAACATTTGGCCTCTTGATGATGACTATTATTATAAGGTCAGATGTATGTATATCTAACTCCATTTATCAGATCTGTCAGAACCCCCAACAACTCATAAGTATGTGGTCTCCAAAATTCTCGTTTTTTTTTTTAAAATTCTCATAGTATCTTTATTGCATGTGGTTTTATGCAATTCAACAATCTAAGACCTAACCAACTTACCCAAAAAAAAAGACTATTAAATTTTTAAATGGAGGTGCCATAGAATAGTGGAGGAATAATTTGCATGGGAAATGCCTCTGCTACTTGTTGGAAACTGCCTGATTGCCTGGGTGATCTGAAACTTCTGCTAAACCTATTCCTTTGAATTTATATGATTGACTTATTCCTGGTTAGTTGGAGGTAGACTGTTTCTTTTATTGTTCACCATTGAACATGTAATGCCCATATTGAGGAAAAGAATATCTTATATTCAAGCATATATTGCTTGGATATTGTATTCCTTTCTGTTCAAGAAAAGGCTTCAAAAGTAAATGGTAGGACTTGGGAGGAGTTACTAACCTACTCTTGTTTCCATATCAACGTCTTAGGTTTTATTCACAGGCAGAACATAGGAAATTAGAGGTGCAAAGCAGAATTCTCTAGCCTACACAACCAAAACAATACCCATGTGCAATGCCTATCCTATCTAACATCCTTTGTTGATTATTAATGGGACAAACTCATGGATGGGATAATTGATATAACTATTATCACAGGGACTGGCTGGATGTCTTTGACAGTTAGCTAATGTATCTTTTGGTGGCTGATCTGGAAATGGTTTAGTTGATTGTGATTGGTTTTATTGTGAATACTTGTATGCCTAATTCAATTGGTCTTATTTGGCTGAAATAGGAAAATATGTCTTGCATTTACAAAAATTGTCCGTGCCTGAATTGGATGCTTGCTTACCCACATAACATTATTTGAATGAGTTGATACTTAATCTAATTTTCTGGTCTTAGCCAGTTTTTTTCTCTGATGGAGCTTTTGTTTTATGGTGTCTGCTCAATAATTGAAGAGTTTGAGACACACACGAGCTTACTCCCAGGTTCTGGATCGCTTGGAGGCAACAAAATAATTTGGCTTTTTTTTTGTTCTATTTGAAAATTGCAAGTTTAACTATTTGTTGTTGGCGGAGATGCATAGTTGATTGCAAATTCATTCTAATGTCTTATTATTGATAATAGATACCCAAGATCATCATAATGCAACGTGTATGATGGTATTTACTCAGTGCAAGCAGGGATAGAGACTTGTAGGAATCTGAGATTTAAGGACCAAGTGCACCATTTAATGACATGAGAATCTGATACTTCGTGATGACGCTCACATAAATGGTGCTTACTCAGTTGCATCTGATGTTAAGTGCTTACTTTACTGCTAGCCAGGGCCACCTTTGACTGGTACCTTGGTAGTGATGGGCATCAGCATATGCATGAGCAAAAGGGATTAGATACCTGTCTCCTTTGTCATCCAGTCATGCAGTTTACATTCTTTCCAAGGTACTAGTGAAAGATCAGAATGTCAAAAGGATTTTCCCCCTTTTTGGAAGGAAAGAAAATGAGCCTTTGATATGTTTTGTTGGATTGAAAAAAGGATGATCAAGCTTCTAGATTTGTGTTGGAAAGCTAGGGTGTGAATCATTACCTTGAGCAAAAACTGGAGTTTTTAGTTTTTGCTAATCTGCATGATGGAGATGGAAAAGGAATGGTACATTTCAAAAAGATGCGGAAATTGTCTTGCTAATGTTTAAGGGGAACTGGGGAATGAAACAACTAGATGAAATAGAAGAACCGACCTTGGAATAATTGAAGCATGGTATGGACTACGGTGGTGGACTTGTTTTCTTTCAACCTAAAGATTAAAGAACTGGCCTTAATAAAATGAGATCCAGTTTTGGCTTATCGTTTGCTGCTTCAATTTGACCAAGTTGCCGGGTTGATGGCATTTCTAAGACACTGTTCAGTAAAGCCAAAGCCTTGCCCTGGAAAACATTTGAGTCTTAAATGTCTTTCTTTTTAGGTCAGTCCGGCCATTAAGAGACAAAATGATGATACGTTTGACATGCAGTTGTTGGATGACTTTCGTCTTGCATCTGCAGTTAAAGAGACAGATCCTTTTTCACTGAGAAATTATAATTAGCAAGAGCCAGAAGGGTGAAGAAGCCGATTAAATTTGATGCATTATGTTTGTGTATGGAGCTCTGAAGTTTGAAAAACCGAGCAGGAGTCCTGGTACTACGGTGTACCACTCTCAGGAATTTGGGACTTGGGAATTTGATCCACCACCCTACAAGACTACAACTCACGTATCCCACGGATGAAAATTAACTGAAAATTATGCATGAACTTGGACATCACGGCTACTGAAGAATGTTCTTATGTTTTTCTTTTGTCGAAAAAGAAAAGAAAATGTTATTTAACCTACGAAACCATGCATGAGTTATTAAGCTGCAAAAGTGAGAATTTTCACTTTTAAGCTTAGACGATTGTTAAATAATTTAGTTTGATCCAATATGCTCAAGGAAGAATTGATAGCAGTAAGAGTTTCTAATAATCTACTTTCTTTGCTGGAGAAGGCCCTAATTAAGTACAGCTTTGAGGTGTGACCGTCTGGATAGAGAAACGTTTTGATACTGATGCTATCTTGCTCAATTTCTCCCCTCATTGTTTTGTATCCAAATTCGAAAAGTTCTCTTCTTTCCATCTTTTAGGAAGCCTTGAGAAGCTTCAGAGCTCTTAACCGAGTGTCATGAGAAACCAGTCAGGATCAGGTACACACACTGAGCACGTTGAGTAAGCACTTGAAGTTTTTTGTTTTTTTTGTTTTTTTTTTTTTTTTTTTTCTTTTGACACCAATCCCTTAAAATACCCCCAGCCTATCCATGAAAAATATTTATTGTGTTCATTCACTATGCTTAATTGCTTACAATGCTGTGCCCACTAAATCCGGAGTTCCGGACTCATGAGAAACACCCATTGAACTCAAGTTGACATGACGTAAAATTCTCTCATATTTTATCCTCATCCTATAACCTTTATCAGTGCACACCTATAAAGGAACCAACAATTGATACATTTTGATTTTTAATAGTTGTTAATTGTAGAAGTAATAATAGTGTGATAATGAATTACCACTACAATAGGTAGATGAGAATTTTGTATTCTTACCTGAATCTGCTTTCAGCGAAACCTGTAATCTTAGAAACCGTGAAGATCATGATGTCTAATTAGTCGGAGCTGGAAGGTGGAGATAGATCAGTTAGATCTGGCTTCCTGGTAGGCCATCGTAATTGTTTGATTAAGTTACACATTCTATTATGGTGAAGGAAGAATCTTATAAGGTCTTCCGTCTTCCCATTTGGAGTTGAAAACGTCGAAAAGATTTGTTCGTAATTTATAAATCTGCAACATATGTTCATGTAGATGATAAGCTCTACCGTTATTACACTACATAGTTTGGGTAGGTTAGTTGTTGGACAAGCCAAGAAACAAGGGACTCCTCCTATGCAAGGTTCAAAATATTGACACGTATTGGCCTGTATCGGCCGATATTTATCATATTGGGAGTACTCCAATATGTCCTACAGAGGGTGCATCGGGGTTTTGACTGATTTAAGGGGTGGAGGAACCTTAAACCGGCCCCCCTGAACCGGATTTGAAAAAAAAAAGTACTGATACTGCCCAATACACCCCTACCGGCATATCAAGCATATCAATATTTAGAACCTTGCTCCCATGGTAATAGTGTTGGAAACCTAGGGCCATCGGGGAGTATTAAGGAATGAGGAAGGGAATGTAATAGCTCTTTGTTCAGGTCCAGTTGGAATAGGCAACTCCCTCAGGGCTGAAATGGTGGCAGTTTTGGAAGGGATTCAAAGAGTTGAAGAGCTGAATCAGCTGAATCAGTTGGCAGTTTTGTAAGTTAGTTATAGGTGGTAGTGTGTTGCATGGTTTTTAAAACTGAATCAGATTGGAAGATCGGACCGCAAAATCGGGAACCGATTAGGTGATCAGTTTCGTTTTACTCCAGAACTGTTATTTCCCCGAAAACCATTGATTTGGTCAGCAAACCGCTGACCCAGGTAGTTGAATCATTCAAACCATTCGAACTGTCCAACGGTTTGGCCTTTTTTTTTTTGTCAAACTGGGTAGTCCGTTCGATTCAAACAATGGTTTTCAAAACCGGACCAGACCGAATGGTCGGATTGGAAAAACTGGGAACCAATCAGGTGACCGGTTCCATTTTCCCCAAAAACCATATTTTCCCCCAAAACGGTTTGACTGTTTTTATTTTTTAAAATTTTTAATTTTTTTTTATTTTTGTCATAATGGGCCGAGCGTTCGATTTGAAGGGTCGGACCATTCGACCCGGTAACCGGACCCCTGACTGGTTCAGTTTTAAAAACCATGGTTCAAATGGCCGGACCATTCAACCTGGGAATTGGACCCCTGACCAATTCGTTGTCCGGTTAGATTTTAAAAACCTCGGTGTGTTGTTAAAAGAAGACAATAATGGGATTTGAATCTGAAGCAATAAAAAGAAGGGAAAAGTACAAATCAGCCCAGTTCAGAATTTACTAGACCCAAAGTACAGGGGGAATGCATCCTGACCGTGAATTGATGCCAAATTCACGAGCAAGATGTGGTTTATAGGGGGGGACAGGGCTAGTTGTAGGGGGGGGGGGCTGGAATTCAGAATTCTGCATCGTGTCTCCGTACTTTTCCCTAAAAAGAAAGACATTTATCAAAAAATAAAAAATAAAAAGAAAGAAATTTAAATGGCGGACAAATGACATTGATGTAAAATGTAATTGGGTGAAGAAATTCTTCACCCAATTACGGATGTAATTGGGTGAAGAACAAATGTAATTGGGTGAAGAAATTTATTATGTACTTATTTCTAATTGTTTTTCTTGTTCTATTTGAGCGGCCTTTAGTCTCTTTCAGTGGAGCTAAGATAGTTTATCTCCCCTTTCTTGAACTTAAGGCTGTGTTTAGCTTGTGCAAATTTATTTGCACTAGTATAAATGCATAGGAGTGCAAATGTAAAAAATGCAAATTCTTGTTTAACTTTGTTTTGGATTTTACTTTATTCTGTTTCATGACTTAATTTACTTCATTTGTACTGCAATCAAACAAAATAAAATAAAACAAAAATAAGTCAGAATTTACACTCAAATCATTTGCACTGTTATGATTTTGCATCAGTGCAAATTTATTTGCATTGCAACCAAACACAGCCTAAAGTTTAATCTTTAATGAAAGTTGTTATGATGAACAGCTTAAGAACAAATGAGATGAGCATAGTAGTAGTAGTAGTAGATGCAACGATGAAGCGCCAAATGCATTGCTAAAATGTTTTTTTTTTTTTTTGTTTCATTAAAATAGAAGAATAATTTCAAATTTTCAAATTCAAGTCTAGGCGTTTCAAAACAAGAATAATCAAAAAACTCTAGAAAGCATAATTAGTCATCTATTTGGCATGCCTGGATCTTAATGACTTTTCTCTCCATTTTGGATGGAGGTCACAAATTAAATCTGACGAAGAAAACCACCAAATTGACTACGTTATCAGAAATATGGACATGGAACGAACCACCATTAGCACTGCTTGAAGTTTTCTTTTTGAGCTCCTGGACGTCTTTGAGCAAGCAACTGCTTTGTTCTCTCAAGAACACCAAAGAAAATCGAACCACCAATTCCTATCCAAAGTACCCTTGGCCCAATACCCTGTGAGAAGCAACAAAAACACAAAGCAAGAATAAATATTACTAAAAGCTGTATGCAACTTTAAATTTTCCCAGGCACAACATGGCAAATGTACCAACAAGTTCTCCAAGATTTCTCATAAATTGTTGGAGCAATGGAGCAATGAAGTTTAATAACAAAGGCCCAAAATATGCCTATAGTCTACTTTATGATTATATCTATTACCTATTAGTTTCACCAAGTCCCTCCTATCAACTCTCTAAACATTCTCATCCCACTTAAATTCATGGACATCATCTTTTATATCCTTATACTGTCCTCTCTCTCTCTCTCTCTCTCTCTGTTGTATTCATTACTATGCTGTTTAGAAGGCTACATGGACAAAATAGATTTATCTTCCATGCATAATAAAACAAGAAAACTAGAGCCTGGATAAGGTTGCCACTCAAAAGAGAAATCACTTTTTTTTCTAAGATTACTTGTCATCTTAAATGAGATAGTTAGGAAGCCTTCCCAACTTCATAAAGGCAATATCTTAATGGGGGCATTTTTTCCTTCTTCACTGGTCTAACTAAGGGGTTCTAAAAAATAAGGGATGCTTTTCTCTCAGCTTCTACATGCTTGAAGCTCTCCTGTGCTTCACATGCTCCTGCATTTCATACAAGTTACAAGAATACATGGTAAAACATAGGATGGCAATACCTTCAAAAAAGCCTGAGTTCCTTCTTCTCTAACAATGGTTTGAACACAACCAATAATTCCTTTGTACTGGTTTGCAGATCCCTACATACAACAAAAGGAAAAATTCATCAACTAAACAACATCCAAATGGATAACAAGATCTGATGTAAAAGTTGAAATACACGTGGGAAACTCAAAAAAAAAAAAAATCTTTAACCTAATATGTAGATTAATGTGTATGTGTAGTTTGCCAAACGTAAACGGATTAGAGTGTACCTGGACCATCAATCTTGTCTTAATGACATCTAGCGGTGTAGTTACAGCTCCAGTCAGTGCACCTATGAAGCAAAAATGTTCAATTAATGGAATGCTTCATACATATGTAAATATGCATGAGAAATGAACTTTTCTACAGCATCAATTCCTAGTTCTTCATTTCAACCTTACAGTTAAGTATTATGTTAAGAGATCTGGTAGCAGRAAAAAWTTTTCATAAGCATTGAGTGGAAAAGTGATACTGTAACAAATAGGTAGGGCACCATGGAACTGAAGAGTATGTCCCTTCAAAAAACATGGAAAACCAAAGCATATAGCTCTTCTACAGAAAAAGGGGGGAACACAAACCAAAAGCATATTTGGAGCTTTAAGTTACCAGCAAAAGCACCAATGATAGCATTTTCTGGATCATTTAAATCTCTTCTTGCCTGCATGAGCAAATAAAGAAAAAAAAATCAATTATTTTGCATATATTTATGCACTCTCTGGATCAAGTAACAGAACTGCTTGAGCCAAGATACAGAATCTTAAATGACAACTCTACAAAATAAGATTGAAAGCTTGTAATGTTAAGTGGGACATTGGTGAACCCGATAAATAAGCAAAACCAATCAAGCTGTCCAACAAATCTAGGTAAATATCTAATAATAGCAGAAGTAAGCTTACCGCTAGCTTATAACCAATCCGAAGCTGCTCATAGATACAGAATTGGATGGCATCAAATGGCAAATCTCGCAATAAAAAAGACCCATACCCCTACAATTTCAATTTTAAGAGGTCAATCTCAATACATAATATTTCATGATATGCAAAAGCTAATCACATGGATTAAATATTCATTCGGCACATATCTTAAAAAGGCCATTACCCAATGTTGATCTCAGTCATCTGTAGGGTGCAACTTGGGTTGGGGTTTTGTAGAAATTTGAATGGGCCCAGCCCAGAAACCCAGGCCTGATGCACTGTAAAATCTTAAAACTGTGTACCCAACATGAACCCCTAACCATCTGGTCCGGGGAGGGGTAGACTGGATACAGTCCTAACCTCTGCCATTTTTTGCACAAAGTGGCCACTCTCATACTCAGACCTGTGTTCTCACATTTTCCAACCCGAGATTTTACCATTACACCAAGTAACGGCCCCTTATCTGCCCTGTATTAAAATTATTCCTGTTGTTCTGAATTTTGTTTGCCATGTTACCCTTTTCTTTTCTGAATCACAATAAGGCACCATGTTACCCTACTTGATAACATGAGTTCTTGTGTTGCAATATTGTTCCCATATGATAGAATGTGTATCTTTCCATAATCAGTACTTGCAACACATATGCCACTATCCCACCTAGGCCCTAGCTAGTATACAGAGAAAGAAATCATAATGGTTGGGTTTCACTTTCCAGTGCACAACCACACCAACCCTCTGGCCTCAATTCTAAAAAGAATAATAGAACTCCCTATTCTTTTGTTTTTCTGATTTGGATCATTAACAGATCAATACAAAACCTTATTAAATAATAAGTACAAGGAATAGCAGCAGCCAGCAGCTAGGCTAAAGAGAAGCCAGAAGCTACTGATAAACATAAAAATTCCCCAATATAAACAATTTGCTCTTCCCCCCTTGGGCTGGACCCCATTACAACTCTTAATTACCCCTTTTGCAGATTTCCAGACCAACCAAATGAGGTATTCAGCCTGGATGCCAGAGATTTTACCACTCCAATAGAATCTAAATACAGCCATGGGTTAGGATATCCTCCTTCATCCATCCATTCATCACTAATTCCTTCAATCTCCAAACTAGAGTAGCCCATGGAAATTTCCATTTTCGACCCTTGAAGTAAAAGAGAACAGATCATCCCAGATTGAGGACCCATCACCAATTGGAACCCAGTACACATAGTTGTCAAGTAGACCTGTTCATGGGCCGGGCTGGGCCGGGCTTTCACTCTGTATTAACAGAATTTTCTAAGGCCCGAGCCCGGCCCTCATAAAAAGCCCGAAGCCCGGGCCTGGGCCCGAGCCCGAAATTTAGCCCATACTGTTAGCGGCTGAATAGAGAGAGATTATAAAGAAAAGAATAAAAAATGTATATATTAAATTATAAATATATATTTTAATAAATATTATATTATTTATATATTTTATANTTATAAAGAAAAGAATAAAAAATGTATATATTAAATTATAAATATATATTTTAATAAATATTATATTATTTATATATTTTATATAATATATAAAATACATATTATATATTTTATAAAATATATAATGCTGAGTCGGGCCAGGCCGGGCTTTTTTGACAAATCCCGAGCCCAGCCCGAAACACAGTCGGGCTTACTATGTTAGGCCCGAGGTCAGGCTCGCGGGCCTACCCATGAACACCGTCAAGGCACCCACCTAGGCGTCGCCTAGGCGACTAGGCGCCCTTGGCTGGGTGCCTCACCCAAATGCTTGACTTTTAGCAACCAGGCACCCTTCTAGGCAACTAAGCGCCCGCCTAGGCGACAAAAATGAGAAGGCAGGCGCCTTTTATAATATCATTCATATTGTTGTATCTTATTAATGTATGTGTTAATACATTTTATTATATGCTATATATATAAATTATAATTTGTTTTAATGTTTTACTATTGAAATTTAAAAGATCAAAGGGTTTTGAGAAGAGAAAAAGAAAGAAAGAAAGAAAAAAAGAAAGAAAAGAATGAGGAAAGAAAGAATAGAATAATAAAGTTCTTTTTTCTATTCTCTCTCTCTCTAATTAAATAATATAAAGTTAATAACCTTCTTTAGCTGCTAATTAATATGAATTTGCACTATTAAATACTTATTATAGTAGTATTATTTTTGAAAATAATGAAATTAATATATGTAAAAGATTTTTATCTTTTCAAAGTGATGATATGCCACATTTTTAGAGGAAATTTAATGTTCTTAATAAAGAGAATTGCTATTTTCTCAATTAACATACATGCTGAATGGTATTTAAAACTAGGAAACTAGCCAAAAGTCAGTTTTTTATATTATAAAATTTTAGTAGAAATCTGCTGAATTAAAAAATATAAAAGAAAAGTAGTTTCTTGAAGAGAGAAGGAAGAGAGGAGAAGAAGAGAAGTTGGAAAGAAAAGAGAGCAATAATCTGGCCGCCCCCTTCACTTATTATTTATACTAAAATAATAGAACAGTACAAAGACAACTATGCCCTTATAGGGCGGTAAAACATAAAACAGCATATATAACACTCAAAAACATAATAAAATTTGGACTCACATAACTACAGTGGTCCCCACCTCCTATCTAACAACTAACATAAAGCATCTACTCAGAAAAACATCATAAAACTAATTAATCTTCAACACTCCCCCTCAAATTGGGAGTAAATGTCACACATTCCCAACTTGCGAAGATCATGCTCAAGCTTGTTCTTTGCCACCCCTTTAGTTAGAACATCAGCCAACTGCAACTCTGAAGAGACATAAGGCAAACAAACTTCTCCGGTTGTTACCCTTTCTCTTATAAAGTGTCTATCAACTTCAATGTGTTTTTTCCTATCATGCTGAATTGGATTGTGGGCAATATTGATTGCAGCCTGATTGTCACAGTATAACATCATAGGTTCCTCTGCTTTCACCCCAATCTCACTCAAAAAAGATCTAACCCAAAGAAGTTATGAGACACTATGAGCCATGGATCTATACTCAGCCTTTGCACTTGACCTTGCCACAACCACTTGCTTCTTACTCTTCCAGGAGATCAAGTTTCCACCTACAAAGGTACACACTCCTGATGTAGACCTCCTGTCATCTAAGCATCCTGCCTAGTCTGCATCTGTATAGGATTCTAGCTTCTGATTCTCATGATTTGAGAAAAGAATGCCTCTGCCAGGGTGCCTTTTCAGATATGCAAGCATTCTCTCAATAGCTTCTCAATGTTGAACCTGAGGTGCATGCATGTACTGACTCACAACACTGACAGCATAAGAAATATCTGGTCATGTCATACACAAATACAGCAGTCGGCCCACCATTCTTTGATATCTCCCCACATCCTTTACCAACTCACCTTCCACACCATTAATTCAATGATTTGGATCAATAGGAGTGTCTGCTAGTTTGGTCCCCAGCTTCCCAGCCTCCCGTAGTAGGTCAAGTACATACTTTCTCTGTGAAATGAGGATCCAATGCTTGGGTCTTGCAACTTCAATCCCTAAGAAGTATTTGAGCTCACCAAGATCTTTGATCTCAAATACTTGCTGCAATGATTTTTTGAGATCATCAATCTCCTCCAGATCATTTCCTGTCACCACTATAACATCCACATACACAATCAGAATTGACACCAGAGCATCTCTCCTCTTTACAAAGAGGGTGTGATCAGACTGTGTCTATGTGTATCCAAAACGGATGAGTGCCCCTCTAAACCTGTCAAACCAAGCCCTAGGTGACTGTTTCAGTCCATACAGAGATTTTCTTAATCT